TACGCGTTCCAGGCGACCAGTAGTTTGAGTTAAACATTTGTAAACAAATGCATTGGTGCAGCCCCCATAACACCGTATATACGCTGCCAGCTTTGATGTGGCATTCAAAAAAGGCAGTTGTTGAGCTCTCGCAGTCTATCTGTACTATTATGATACCCTATAGAGTAATTAGAAGCATTCATCAAATCCAGTGATTCATCCAAGCCTCGAATCTTATCTGTCCATCTCAAAAACCATTTCAATAGTGAACTGTGCCTTTGGTATTTCGTTCGCGATTATTTTAGTAGGCTTGATTTCAAGGGGTTCTTATCTCGTTTGCTGCTGTCACTACCTATCACGCATGCATCATTAGTGCTTCTACCGTCGCCTATGAACCTTTCAATTCAAACACTCCAGGAACCGGAGAAAAGGAGCCATCAAACTTCGCACACATACCCATACACAGATCGATGCACACACACAAAATAACAGATAAAGCAAACACATGCAGAACATATACAGATGGGTGTAATACCAGACAAGCAAGCTTCAATTTCTAGCTGGAGTGGTCAGATCACGCACCGATTTCTTGGCTAACATATATAAGAATGTTCATAGAAATCGCTTAAACCAGGTATCAGCGATGGAGTCCGGAATCGAGGGTGGAGCATTTCTTTTCTAGTCGACACATTGTTTGGTGAGATGTAAAATGGGACCTTCAAGGGAAAAGGAGGTAAGCGAAAGGTTGATCAGAGCGTTTCCAATTGCTTCGATGCTTACATCATTCAGAGAAGACACTCGCAAATCAAATCTGAAGTTTCCACGGATACTCACGTTACCGAAGGTCTCGATAAAGATGAAGAGAGAGTGAGTATTCAACGCTACCCGAGGGATGACATACAACGTTCGAAACGAACTCATTTTCTCAGATTTGGCATAATCTCTACATATATCCAGCTCTTGGGCCTTCGAAATCATTCAATCACAAAATTGCTCAAATTCTGTCATTGAATCTTGTCCAATACGATTGGTCATTCCATGCAGTATGCTACCAATAGGAACTTCAGTTGGAGCGTGCCGATTGGGTCTGGCACCTTTCCGCTCTGAGGCGAACTCCGGCTCAGCTGACCATGCGCATCCCTTTTCCCAGCACAACCAAGCTTATTCATGCTTACTATCAAAAATACACCTTCCTGCATCCTATCATACTATATCACATCATCATCACATCATTCGCTAAGTGTGTCTGTTAGTTCGTCGGTGTGTGTGCGTGTGTGTCTCGGTGTGTATATATTTGATCGGAAATTTATAGCCCCTGTTGCACTGGACCCAGAGCATTTAAACTTGGTAGGAGAATGAGAACACCTATGGTAGGTGGAAGGACTGAATTCCGCCCACGGGGCGGAGCACGCACGAAAGAATTTAATGAGTCGTAGAAGGCGAGAGCTACTGAGTGAGCAACTCCTTTCGCGTTGGCAGTGAAACATTAGTGATGTGTGACGGGGCCCTAGCTACACTGTGACAGGAGCTAAAAACAAATGATAAGAGGTGATAAGGCGGGCCTGGGGAAGAGGTGTTAACGATCTAGCTTTAATTCTCTGATATGTTTCATTCAATAAGAAGAGTAAGTGCACTGACAAGGACCGATTGAAATCACCTCATTACCAGGAAATAAAATTTGGTTCATTTCTTGCTCTCAGATTACCACCCCTACGTAGCAAAGTTTGTGAATCAATGAAGGATCACGGTTAGCTTTTGCTTCGATATCATTTGCAACAAAACTTACACGACCGCCAACAATAAGGGGTTTTTAACCAGTGATACATATACCAGTTGGCCTATGCATGCATTAAATGTCAACGACCGCTCATTTGTAGGCTTACAGGCTGCATGTACTTTATCAGGTGATATCTAATCTCCGTGCAAGCAGACAGACGCGAGCGCTTTATACATAGCGAGGATGGTGAAGAAAAGACGTTCCATTTATAACGTCATCTGATAAGGATTTTCTGATCACTCTACAACATTTAAGTAGCATTGAAAGCTCTTGTCAGCTATGCGATAGGCCCTTAATCGAAGATTATTTTCGACAGAAGAGCAACAGATCAAGTCTTTTGACAATGGGTATCATAGACTTATACTGAGTACAATTTGTACTGCCCTGTTAGTCCCGTGTCAAACATCCTGTTCAAAAAAGTATCAAGTCGCATGGTCGGGTTCTCGATCAATTGTGATATGCGAGGCGTACTCGACGCGGCCAATCAGGCTTTATTGGGTGGCCACTCCACTCTACTGAAGCAAAAACAACGGTAAAGACTATCGTCAGATCGCTAGCCCTCCAAAGGCTCCACGAGAGGAGTTGCCGCTGGGCTGATGTGGTTGGTCGATTGAGGATTTGCCTTGTGACGTCACCGATGATCGGCGCCTCCATTTTTCGATTGGCCACGGCGCCCTTCATTCCTGGATATGAGAAACCAAAAACAAAAAATTTAACTACACGTTTTGNTGATATAAAACAATACATTTACTAAACGATTACACATTGCATTTGATCCAAAAAGGAATATCTTTGATACCTTTTGCAACAACACTCATCCGACCACCAACAATCCGGGATTCTCAACCAATGATTCATCCGCAGAGAAAAGAAGGTGCACTGATAACGACATTTGATAGTGATTTTATCATTACTCGACAACATTTGTGAATACCATTCATGGCTTTGGTTGTCTAACAGTTGAGTCTTTAATGGATGATTATTTTGAAGGTGAGGAGAACGGTGTGTATGCACTTATTTAAGTGTGCATGTTACTTGTATGTATGTGCGTGTGCAAGTTTGGCGACGTACTCGGCGTGTGTGTATAGGTGTGTGTATTAGCATATGTCGATGTATCAGTGTCGGTGGGTGCGTAAGTATTGATACGGGTGCTGCTTTACTCGAACCTTCGAATGCATCTGTTTGCCTTCACCTTCGTGGGAAATCGCTCAGGAATGAAGTTCAGCACCGTCTTCTTGACCTCCCACATCCGGCTCTTGAACAACTGCCATGAAACAATTCCTATCGTTCCGCACCGTTTTTCCGTACAGGCTTGTCGTGATGGAACCGTTTCATTTGGTCGACGCTCCGAAAAAATCGTCTTCTTCAAGGGCTGCTTTCAACGAGGGACCATTTGTACCAGCCTGTAGTTGTTTGGTTTTGATCTTGTTCTTCTTTGTTTTCATCCCTTCGACCGACCGTCTGCCACCCTCCTCCCCCTAGCACTGCCTCGTAGCACGCCGGCCGGCCGGCGGACTATGAAAGCAGCCAAGGGCCTGAAAGTAGCTCGGGGCTCCTGAACTGCGGTCTATCCGATCAAGTGCCAGAAAGCGCTAGGCCAGCTGTAACAGCTTCGAGAAACTTGAACACCAAAAGATCCCAGCCAAGATACCATCGCCGGTTCCACCACTATTGCCGCACAACTCGAGGTCTACTTCAAAATATTACAGTTAAGGCATATCTTGGCCAGGCCATAATGTCAACCTCGCTCAGATCGAAATACGAGGCTCCTGTTTCATGCTAGCCTAGCATTTCTGAATCCGCTCAGAGAGCTTCGCTGTTGTTCGCGTTGTGTAAAGCGCTGTTACATCAAGCGACTCTACAGCGCAGTTTCCCTGAAGCCTACAGGAACGGAGGCTATCAAGAAATTTCTTGGGTTAAGAAGATGTTAGGGTACATATCGGAGATTGATCAACACTTCAATTAGGGAACCAGGAAACACGTTTCGATATATATTTCTTGCTCGTCTTCGTTCGTGTAGGCTTGGAGGAGACTGCGTTGTAGAGTCGTTTAATGTCACTGCGGTACCGTGCATGTACCACCCCGCCCACAAGGGGCGGAATTGGAAAGTTCAAAATTGGTAGGTGTAAAGGAGGCAGAATGGAAACACTGACCCAATTGAATCCTAACGCATTCCCTATCTATTATGTAATTTTCACTCTTCGATATGTTCCTTTCGACAAGAAAAGTAAGTGCAGTGATAGAGATTACGAACGCTATCCAGCAAAGTTTGTGACTCAATGAAAGATCACGGTTTTGAACCTTCAATGGGTCATTATTCAGGATGAACAGCAACAGATAGAATCTTCTAATCATAGGCATGAGCGGCATCGGCGCATTTTGGATACCGTTTGCATATGCCCTCTATCCAGTTTCCTGTTCCTAAAGGTATCATTTGTTCCAAAGAAGGAGCGAACTGTCTACAGATTATCACAACTCTATCATAGAAGGGGGACCGATATGTACATATTTTGGTGGTACAGGAAGAAGTTCTGCATAAATGTTGTCAAAGAACATTTAGCACACAAGGAGGGTCGAAGCCTTCTCACGACACTTGGGAGGCATAGACTAGAAGAGCATTGTAAAAGCGATTTTGTTTTGAAATGCAAAATCCCAGCCCAAGAAAATGAGGTCGGTACCTAGAAGTATTGGAAACTCACATATTCGCTAGAGAAATCCTAGGCTGAACAACCGAAATGCGTGCATTGCCGTAAGAAGTGCCGTAACATCTGCCATTCATTCCTTTTTGTTAGCTTCGAGATCACTGCTGATTATTACTTAACGACCGTCATTGGTCCCTGTTGTTCACGAAATTGAGTGGGACGGCAACTCTGGTGGAACCGCGACAACTTGTTCTTGTGGCCGGTTCTCTTTGGCTTTCATGTTTCTGGGACCTCTTGCAATGGTAAAGCGCGTTTGGGCGCTTAGTGGCGATAGCTTTTTTCGCTGTGACTATTGACTATGACTAGAGCATAGGCACCTCCTGATTGAGATCTGCATCGGTAGTGGAAGCGGACCATGAGCCAATCGCTTCTTGTAGAAGCGCCTCTCTTGCACATCTTGCAGTGTTGATCCCTGCGAGAATTCTCTATGTCGAAGGTTTCGCTCCCAAGTGTAGTCTTTTCGATTAGCAATGCTAGCTCAGACATGTTACACAGTCTAAGTCAATCTATGAGTTGAGACTCTAAAAGAAGTGCTAAATCACATGGGAGACAGAAATACAGTGTCGGCACGAAATAAGAGTTTTCAGACATTAAAAGAATTTGAGTTCTATCATGGCTTCCTTCCGCGAGAGGATTTATTTTGCCTACTTAAATATGTTGGAGAATTTTTGATACGCGTTAGTGAGGTAGGTTTTTCATGCAGTGGTTTCAGCTCAGTCGTTATAACCCTCACCATTCCTGCTCTCGAGTCCTCAATATTCAAATGAGATTATTAGTTATTAGTAATGTTCATGTCCGTCGTAGTGATGAGGGAGTATAAGTCAACATTACTAAGTGGTGCAAGCGAAGGACAGGTTTCAAAAATATGCAACATAGGAGAAATGGACAGCTGGTTGATTTGGTGTACGGTGAACGATCAACAATAAACTGCCAAATAACTTAGGAATTAGGAAAAGATCTTGACGTTAGTCATACCATATGCGCCCACTCTGCTTCCATTTAGCATCGTAGTAAAGAGCACAGATCGACACCGACATCTTAGTCATGCTCCTCAGGCAGCCTGTTATGAGCCTCCTCCAAGTGGTTCTAGCCGAAGACTCCCCTGTTGAAGAGGAAAGCGCCTTTCTAATATGCTAACGACACTGTTTTTTGTATATCAAGCGAGATTAAGACGATATTAGCAACTATAGAGTTGGCAGAAAGCCCTGCTACAAAAAATTCGAAGCGTTGAAAGGTTTTATAATGACTGTGAATACGGTAGCAAGGACTATAACTACTAGGACCCTTCCCGGGCAACCCACTAATGAGTAAACGGGGGCACGCGCGTGGGCTTCCGTGGCACCACCGTCAATGAATGGACAACACCCTATTTGTACCATGAGGGCATTCCAAGGGAAAAACGCTGGGTTAGCGGCTCAAATTAACAGCAACCAAACGATGCTAGCACTGACCACCGATCAACGGTCAGCAATCGGTTGGGTCACACCACCTCAAAGATGCTGGCCTTCGAGGTAGCGCAGGCATTGTACCATAGTTTTCAGTGGTGTGAAGGGGCCAATTTACAACTAGATAGTCGCAGCTTTCATCATATTCGCTTGTAAGCCAGCATTTACACCTGAGATTGAACAGCCCTCCATGCAGTAGTTTTGTAGCTGCCCTCGCGGGAAATCTGCTCATTGGTGAAGGAAGTTTTTACCTCCATAAATTTAAGGTCGACAACGATCCTCATCAAAAAGGTAAAAGAGAAATCATACTATCAGTCGTGTGCGAATGTGCTCCCGGAGAGACTTCGAGGATTCAGAATATAGATGAAAAAGAAGATGAGGCACAAGGCAAGAAGGGCTATGAGAAGAAGGTGCGGGGGAAGGTAAGTTGTGGAGTAGCACGATGGTTTACAGAGTTTAAGAAACAGCGCGTAATGAATGATAGGAATGACCAGTACAAAACATCATTAGTCGGCGTCTAATACATATAGCGCTCATTTTTAGCTTAAAAACGTCATTGTAAGGAGAAAGAACGGCAAGTACTTGGTTGAGGTGGCGCGTCTATTCGAGTCTATCCCACAACTTATTAAACACTACCGAGAAACGCCTGGGAAACTAAATAAGGTATCAGGCGACATTCAACTTTCTGTAGGTCTTACACCTTCACGAAACATTTTCCAGATTTCTTTCATTTTAAAATATCCTATAAAGCAACAGTCGTGGGAATATAACCACAGTGACGTGCAACAAGGAAAGTTATTGGGGGAAGGAGCGTTTGGCGAGGTCCGAGCTGGAACGTTGAAGTTGAAATCCGGACGAATAGCAGAGGTGGCTATAAAAGTGGTAAGTATGCTCGGTGACTGTGGTGTACTGAGATGTTCACGCAAAGTGACCTTTCAAATTACTCCACACGAGAATCAACTGCAATCTCACTGTCGCAAATTCAGAAAGTGTGACGGTGTTTCTCCACTCACTGTAAAATAACGACCCGTCAAGAGAGCGGAAATCCTTACAACATGTGAAATGCTCGCTTTTGTTCTTCTTTCTGTGTCGTCTGCCGTCTGCCCTTCGTCCGCAATATCCGGTACTTTCTGATGAAGCACGTGGGACATTCAGATATATGAGGCGTAGGGCAAGAACAACAGAGCACATAGGAGCATAACGGGCTGGATTCTTCTCTAGAAATGTTTCAAGGACTATAGGCAGCTCTGTGAAAATTTCATACGCAATGCCTCAAACCAATTTGAAGCTCCACCGTTTCAACTGTAAATCAGGCTCTACATTCACATTTTTGAAATCGCAAGTAGTACTTCTCTCCCCTGCAAATGTGCACTTTGAGCGACTTGTAAAGGGGAATTGCTGAGTTTCATATAGTGGTGTGAGGTTTTTTAGCGTGTTGTTCTTTATTTCTCACTTCTACCTTATGTAGCGTATAAACAAATGACTAAATAAACAAAAAATGTCAAATGGAGGTTGATCAAGGGTGGGCTCCTGATTCTGCTGTGCTGTTCCAAATACCTTCTATTTCTGGCGGGATACCCATGCATTCTTGTAAAAGCTTGCATTCGAGCGACTGGGACATAACTTGAAGGCGTTTCGAGACCGCCTTCGAGAGCAAAGCCCCTCGTCCACTTCGAGATAGCCTGACTGAAACCCGGAATTAACCCAGCCCACGTCAGAGCCTCGCAAGCTACACGTTTTATATCCACTTGCCAAAAACAGTAAAACAAATGAGCCGCATACCCCTGAGCCTGAGGGAGTCAACAATACGGCAGCGTTGGCTAGGACCGCTTGGGAGAGGCTGCTAAAATCTCAGGGCCAAAGTTGACCGCCCAAAAGGAAAAGGACTACGATGGCGATCTGTGCTTTCAGCGCACGGACGCTTGCATCGGAAGCGTGTATAGAAGATGCAGATGCAACCTAAGACGATCAGGTACGACGTCATCAAACTGACCCAGACGAGAGAGCATCTCCCGCTGCACGCCGGACTTAACGCTGGAGAAGAACTGTGTCTTGAAACATGCGACAACAGGGGGTTCGGCGGCGCAGGTGTCCTTGTCAATACGTGAATACCTTGGCCGTGAACATCGATTTGTACGAAAGCTTAACAACCCGAATCGGACGTTCGCGATTGAGCAGACGTAGCTCAACCCCAGCTCTGGCAATCTTCGCTGCCTACGCACCAACATCAATCTACGAAAAACAGGAGTTGGAACCCTTTTATGTGAATCTGGAGAGGCTCTACAGAGAATTCTTTCTCCAAGGTCATCGTCGGTGATTTCAACGCCATGATTGGCCCCAGAAGAGCGTGAGATGAGCTCCACATAGGGATTCACGGAATGGAGTGGAATGAGCAGGGTGAAAAGCTGTCTGAGTTGATTATCTCAACCCACACCATCCATGGTAACTCCCAGTTCTACAAGCTCTCTCATTTGCTATGGCCATGGGAGTCACATAGTGGATAGTTCCAAAATGAAATAAGACCGCACCATCTTCAGTCGGAGATTTTGCCGGGGTGACGTCGCTGTTGTTTCAAGGTTATTCACGGGATCAGACCATCGTTTCCTCCACTCTAGATTCTGCTTCACAGTGCGTGGGGAGAGAGCTATGAAGTTCAGGAAACAAAGTTCCCAGACCTCCACCAACTGGGACCACTTCGTCTCCCTTGCGAGTGAATGGGAAGATTTCGTTATCGACAACATCGATGAAGGCTCAAACCGGTTTTTCGAACATCTTCACCATAGCGCTAGAAAAGCATAGATTTGCAAGTAGCCAAGAGACGACTTTCTTTGAAAACTCTCGAGCTGGTACGCCAGCGTGGAATCGAGCGAGCTGCAGGCAATCATCAACAAACGCCCAAACTTTCGAAGCTATGTAGAGAAGTGATAAAGGAAGACCTGGAAGAGAGATGAGCAGCAGTTATGGGCGAAGAAAGGAGAATTTGCAAAGCCCGGCGGAACCTTGTCAATCACAATACCGGGATGATTCAGTTCGTCATCTTGACGGAACAGTTATTGCATTTCGAAGAGCAATGGCGAAGGTCACCTACGACTTCTACACGGATCTCTTCAACAGTTACTCATACCTCCTGCTTACCTACCATACCTACCATCTCAGGCAAGACGAACATATCGCTCATTCTGTTTTTCATTCCAAAATTCGGCATGCCGTCACGTCGATGACGAATGATAGGGCGCCCGCTCCCGATAGGATTAAACCAGAACATCTGAGGAGTCTTCCACCACTTATCGTCAGAGCTCTGGATAGGTTTTTAACGCGGTACCTGTCGGAGTGCATAGTTTTCTCGCCGGGGGAAACTAGCAATACTATGCTGCTGTACAAAAATAAGGATTCCGACGATATCGGCATTGATCGCCCAATCTGCATGCTGCTTGTAATCTACATGCTTTTCACATGCATCGTCCTGAACAGGATTGGCGGAATATTAGATGAAGGACAGCCATGCGAACAAGAAGGGTTTCGGAGAGGATTCAGTATTTTTGATCTTATCCACCCTCCTACAAGACTCGTTGAAGAATCACGAGAGTATAAAATGCCGTTATGTCTCACGTTCATCGATTTGAGGAAGGCCCTTGATACCGTCAAGAAAGAAGCGGTGATCGAAGCCCTGGGCAACCAGGTGTTCCTACTTAGTATATAGGGGTGCTTCGTTAGCTCCCAACAATTTCACTACCAGTATCTCGCGAGGGCGGGGGGGGGGGGGGGGGGNGGGGGGGGGGGGGGGGGGGTTCGACAAGGGAGCCATTTCGCACAAACATTTCAGTGCCGCTCTCGAGAACATCACTTGTCAAATAGAATGGGAAGGCATGGGAGTGAAGGTCTATGGCCGCTACTTACATGATCTCCGCTTTGCAAACGACATCGTGCTTACAACACCGAACATCGAGTAGGCGGAAAGAATGCTGGCCGTGTTTGAAGTGCTTGTAAAAAGATCGGCTTGTGACTGAACTCAATGAAGACGATGTTCATGTGGAACGGATTGGTACCTGATGCTCTCTTTACGCTAAGCGGAACGAATATCTCTGAGTGCTCGAGCTATGCTGGGTCGGGAAGTCAGCATGATGAACGACCTAGCCCCGGAGCTGTGCAGAAGGAAACGCGCCATTGGGGAGCATTTAAGAATATCGAGGGAGTAGTGAAAAAGACAAAGAACATCCGGCTTTGCGCTCACCTTTTCGACACTGCTGTTCTTCCTGCTTTGACGTACGCCTCAGAGACTTGGACTCTACGAAAGCAGGATGAACATGCTGTCAGCGTTGCTCAACGCGCTTTGTTAAGGACGATGCTCGGAATTTCCCTGTACACGCAAGTGCAGAAGAGAATCCGGAGTTCGGAGCTCCGGCATCGAACGAAGATGAGGGATGCCGTTGATCACGCCAAGACGTCATGCGATATAGTGATGGCGGTTGGACCAGGGCGGTTACGGAGTAGATCCCTCGGGACGTCAAGCGAACACCAGGACAGGCGCCAACGAGATGGTCAGATTTCTTAACGGAAGCTCTGAATGAAAGGAGTGCTGAACCTCGTATCCCTGAAGTAAGGATGTTTCACTGCACTACTCTAGCTCGTGAGAGGGACGGATGGAGAGTTTACTGGCGCCCGCTCAAAGAAATCGACGATGAACGGACGACAGGCGACAAGACAGGTGATGTCAAATGCAGATGGTGTAGTGGCAAGTGACGGTAATGTAATGGCTGGCAATACAAAAGGCTTCGAACCCGTGACCATGCAACTAGGTACATGGCCACGGGTTCGAACCCCGTATATAGGCCCAGCCTGGGCGAATCAAGCCTTCCATCCTTCCGGGGTTGGTCAATTGGTACCGGTCTCTTTTGGGAAGGTAAAAATACTGGGTTGTATATTGGATGGCCACAGGGAGTCAATATAGTATAGGGCATGAACGCATTCAATATGCAGAAGGATTCCGAAAGAAGTTAAATGTGTAGGCGCATCCTGACGGGATTGATTAGTGCCCAAAGACCTCATCCTTTCACTTTCGTGTTGAATGATGAAAACAGTCACTTCTTTTGCAAACTAGCCAGGAAGGGAGACCTAAAAATCATGTTATGGTGCGTATTTTTCTGTTATTGTAGACGAAAGGGTGCTCGGATATTGGGAAGGCGAAGATCAAAGAAATGATGAAGGAGGCAAGACTGATGAGGAACTTCAGGGTAAACAATTACATTCTCAGTTGTCGGGAATCTACGTTCTATTTTAAAGCATTGCAGCACAGAAATGTTGTTCGCATCTACGGAGTAGCAGTTGACGAACAACCACTCTACATCATTCTTGAACTTGTCAAAGGTGAACCCGAATGTGTTTCATTCTTTCTGATAGACGCGGTCACACTAGTCGTCATATGCTTTGAACATTCGGAGGAACTGTAACGTGATAGTTTACGTAGCTTAAGAGTGCACACAAGGAACGACCACTGATCTATTGTTAATGGTTCAAGAAAATACATTTTTCATGGTTTGAGCGTAGTACTAACAATAAATAGCCTGGCAAGAGAACGTGATGAACTCAAATATTTTCTTGGCGGGCCAGTCAGCAACAATTTTATTTCATGGGAAGTAATGAAACTTTTGATCAGAAATCAGTTTTTACGACCCAAACCGAATCCTCTCCTGTCGTTCCTCTCTTTGATGTCTACTTTCACATCAGCGTTTCCACGGCTGAAAGTATGGGAGCCGCCTATTAGACCAATATAGCTTTGTAGTGGATGTTCGCGTTAAAAATATTGAAAGAAATATATTGCGTTTTCCTGTAGAAAAACAGTTTTTGTGAACCATATTTTCAGCGCTGATTCATCCTATTTCTGCATTCAGGCGGGGCGTTGAATACGTTTCTGAAGGAAAACGCCAATAAAGTGGAGGTGAAAGACAAATTAAATATGTGCCTTGGAGCTGGTCTGGGTGTGGAATACCTGCACAATAACCAATGCATGCATCGGGATTTAGCAGCAAGAAATTGCCTAATCACCAATGATCGAGTAGTATGTAGATTTTTGTTTAGTTTAGTGTTTTAGAGTTTAGATTCTATTTTTGTGGATTGTTACTTTGAAAAGGCTGGTATCGATGGGAAATCCTCAGCTTAATGGAATTTGGAGATGCAAATCATGATTTCCTAATTTCAGGTGAAAATTAGCGATTTTGGATTATCGCGACTGGGAGTGCAGTATAAGCTGAAAACTGCAATGAAGCTACCCATAAAGTGGCTTGCACCCGAAACCATCACAACATTCGTATTCTCGCTGAAGACGGACGTGTTCAGCTTTGGAGTGATGGTCTACGAGATCTTTGCAGATGGCGCTGAACCATGGGATGGTCAAACAAATGCAGAAGTCAAAGTGGCGGTTTGTCATCCGAAATACACAGGTCTGAGCTGCAAAACAGAAAACTGATGCTGCTTCCAGGTTATCGAAGGCAGGTGTGTGACCTTCCCAAAATGCACACCAGATCGAGTGAGAAAGTATTTCGTCGAAAGGGTGTTCGCGAAAAATCCAGCGAGTAGAGCCACAATGACAGAAGTGAGTGTTCCCTAAGACGACTTCAGGAATGCCTTGATATTCGACGAACTGCCTATTACAGGTTGTCAAATTCCTCCAGTCATGTGGCGCAACTTCGGGAGTAAGCAGCACCGCGTCCCAAATGTCTGAAGTAAGGGTTGTCTCTGACAGCCGACGCTAATCAGTTGAACTACAGTCATCACTCAGCAGGAGTTTCACAATCAACTTAGTCAACTTGGTTCCCTTCAATGTAGTTGCATACTTCTCCAGACAAATTTTCTCTCCTAAGCCAACAACCTTCCCGAAAGTCTCGATGTAATAACCACGGCCGTTCATAACTTTTGGATATTTCTATTGCACTGTGAAGAGCTTTGATACATAAGTAACGGATTTTTGTCAATAATTCTTCCAAATAAACACATTAAGCGTAAGCGACTTCATTAGAAAAAGAATTTTGCAAAACTATGGACCTGTCAAGCGGACGTCAGGTAGTATCTGTACATATCACAACTTTCACAAACTTGAAGTCGAGAGACGACAGATGTGGAAGAAGTTTCTTCTTGAGCAATCGGCAGGTGCCTGAATCAACAGTCACATTAACATCTGCGCAATGGGGCAGATGTGTAAAGGTAAGTGAGAAGGGCTTCCTACCTAATTTCTTTACTCAGGTATCAAAGGTAGCAGCAGCCAGTGGCGCACTATCACACACGTCATGGTCAAGGGTCCGAATCCCGGACCGATATCCGCCTTGTCAAACTAAACTTTCCATTCTGCGGAGTTGGTTAAGTGGTACCAAACTCGTCTGGGAAGTTGAAGCACTTATGTTCGACTCTCGATGAAACTTGGCATAGCTTTGCATTAATATGAATATGACTTTTTAAAACCTGATGCCAAGATGTTGAATAAGTTCTTATCAACTTACGTTTCGGCGTAATCGCCTTCTTCAGAGCCTCTAGGAACACCCGGTCGTTTGGTCGGTTTTTCCTAGAGGCTCTGAAGAAGGCGATTGCGCCGAAACGTAAGTTGATAAGAACTTATTTAACATCTCGGCAGCAGGTTTTAAAAAGTCATATAACATTAATGCAAAGTTGAAGCACTGACCTGTACATCGGCTGGCCACCGTAAACCATTTTAAAGGCCACATACGCCTCATTACGCCCTACGATTCTGAATGCGGGGTGCATCCCTTAGACGGGATTGGTCAACGTCCGAAGACTTCAAAACTTTAAAAAAGGGATTAAATACGAGAAATGTTAATCACTGTTACAGAAATTTTGGAGTCAAAGATT